TCCTCCCCCTCCATCCCCCTCCTCCCCACCCCAGCCTCTTCCTCCCTCACCCGTGATGTGCGCAGAAGGCATCGATAAGGGCGAGGGAAAGCGACTCGTGGGTGATCTTGTCGCTCCACGTCTGTCTTCCTGTCAGCGAGCGACAGACAAGCTCGAGTCCCTTCCTGCAGGTTCTGAACCCTCGAAGTGACCGACGCTACTCCCTTGCTCTGTTCGATCGTTCGAATGAGGAAAGAAGGAAAGGAGGAGGGAGGCTGAGACGAGGGAGGAAGGGAGGGAGGGAGGGAGGGAGGGAGGGAGGGACGGAGGGACGGAGGAAGGGATGGAGGGAGGGAGGGAGGGAGGGAGGGAGGGCAGGTTACCTGGAGTTTCAACTTGTTAGGGTTCAAAAGAGATCCGAGGGCAGTCAAGTCCACGTTGATCATGAGCGTACCATGATGCAGCGCCTGTATGAGACACAAGACAGCAGCCGTCAACCACCTCCTCCATCGAGCCCGTCGTTATCTCCAATCATAACACCAACTTCACATCTGCGCATCCCCTCTTATCCTGGTATCCTCCTCCACCTTGTACTCCTCCAGGTCCTCGTCCTCGTCCTCGTCCTCGTCCTCCTCGTATCTCATCACCCGAGGTGGCGCAAGCTTGTAAGCGGCTCCCGAAATCTTCAGCCCATCGACTTGCTGCGGTCGCAGGTCAGCAGGAGCAGGGGCGAGTCAAGACCGCACGATGTCGTTCCTCCCTGAGATGGTGGCCGTGAGGCCGAAAGTCTTGAGAGCCTGCGGTCACCTCAGCCGAGCTCGGAGAACGAGACGGCAGCCTGACCTCGATGATGACCTGACTGTTCTTCTTGGAGTCAAAGTTGGTCGTCGAGGAGAGGAATGTGAAGTTTGTGTTTCCCAGGTCCTGATACCTGACACGAACGCCTCAGCACGGCAGACAAGACAACTGGTAGAGAGAGGGAGGAGGGCTGAGACAACTTGGAGGAGATTGGACAAGGGACGGGAGAGACGGGAGAGAGGAAGAGAAAGTTGGTTTGGCAGGAGAGGAGCAGGAGGAGCAGGAGGAGCAGGAGGAGCAGGAGGACAAGCAGGATCAGGAACAAGATCATACACAGTGCCTCCCCCGCTGTAGCGGCGGGTAAGGTGAACTCCTTTGTCGTTCATCTTCTGTATGTTGCACTCCTTCCATGGGTTCCTGCCATGGCGCATGACGCTCCTCCCTCCAGTAGCCCTCCTGCCTCACTGGCATCGTCCTATCACGATCGTCGGCTCGTTGCGCCACAAGAACATCGTGTTGCAGGTCACGTCGCCCGTGCTGTCGACAGGAGCAGTCAGACCCGCCAGCATGCAGGGCAGGCGCGGGACCGGAAGAGCCATTCCTCGGTCGCAAGGTTGAAGAACGGGTCGTGGTCCTCTGAGATGAGAATCCTTAGCTTCTGTGGACAGATCAGTTGATGCCCATGAAGCGGTAGCTGGAGCAGGGAGCAGGGAGCAGGGGGCAGGGAGCAGGGAGCAGGGAGAAGGGAGCAGGGAGCAGGGAGCAGGGAGCAGGGAGTGACCTTGGACGAGAGGCTTCTCCTTGCGCCGAACCCCCTCATTGTTCCCAATGTGTTCGATCCCTTCAATCCGATGGATCCTGCTGTAGCTTTCATGTAGCACAGCATGCTGGGATCCAGTCAGCGGACTACCCAGAGCTCACTCTCTTGCTGTCAGCATGATACCCCTCCTCCCTCCCTCCCTCCCTCCCTCCTCCCTCCCTCCCTCCCTCCTCCCTCCCTCCCTCCGCACTGAAAGGAATGTTCAGCACAGTTTCCATGTCTGATATTGAGTAAAATATTGCCTTCTAGCAGTGGCCGCCATGGCGAAGGCAGGTCGTCTGCTCGTTCTCGCGGCGGGGATGGCGGGGATGGCGAACTTGTCGCTCGTTGCATGCTTCAGCCATGCGCAGCTGCCTTGCATGTCCTCCCCTGTGAGAAGAGCAGAGAGCTGTGCATGCTCGAGGCCTCCGGTGTTGACGTTGAGGATGTCTTCGGCCAAGTCGCTGCCAGTGAAGTCGCCGTCACCTGCCGAGGGGGCGAGGAACGTGATGAGGACGGTGAAGAGATTTCTGTTTCAGTCCTTCCTGGTCATGACAGCGCTGGTACCTCGTCTCCCTCGCCAGCTCCCCTTGCTGACTCCTCTCCAGTTTGTGGGTCTCGGGACTTCGGTAGCGCCATCCATGGCCGACGCAGGATCTTCATACGCACATGAGCGCGTGGTGAGGAGCTCGACGCCATCAGAGAGGAGGTGAGTCAGCATGCAGCTCTCTTGTCCTGCCTGAGGTCTCTGCGACCTAGTGGACAAGCGATCCTTCTCGCTGGAGCTCCTAGCGGGGGGAGCAGTGCGGAGGTGAACGGGACGAGGGTGTTGTTGGGGAGGGTCTCATGCAGGATGGCAGAGAGGAAGCATCATGCTGTCCATGGAGACAAGATCGGCCAAGGACAACCTGACGAAGCTTGTGATCGCTGGTGATGTGAAAGATGGCTAGGAGCGGTCTTGACAGTTCGCGCAGCCTACGTTGCGATTTGGTCCTTCTTCTACTTCACGCATGATGCCGTAAGAAGCAAGACCATCTTTCTCTGCAACGTTTCTCTGACTCATCGCGCGTCACAGGGCGAAGTTAGCGAATGAACTTTGCATGAACTCTGATTTGATGTAACGATAGTAAGGCGAGCCATCAGCTAATGTGCACGTTGAACAAGCTTGCGATAGCGCTCTGTGTTGTTGACGCCAGCCTGCAACAAGTGTGAGGAGGAGGAGGGAAGGGAAGGAATGCAGAGCGACATGCAGGGCTCGGGTGCTGACTCGATCGTTCCCTCTGCAACCACACCAATGCCCTAAAGAAGAGGAGGCAGAGAGACGGGGAGAACGACGAGATGAGAAAAGGTCATGAAGAGGCGATGCGAGGAGGCGAAGGAGGAAGACACGGGGGTGGGGGGGGGAGAGAGAGAGAGAGAGGGTAGGAGCAGTCAGCAACAGCTCTTGCTTGAATCTTGTGAGAACCTGTCTTGGCTCCGCTTCGTGCGATTTCCACCTTGCAGCAAGTGAGCAAAGGTGTTCAAGGCGATGAGACGTGGAGACCTGTTGCCAAGATCCGCGGCTACCTCAGATGACACCAACTTCTTGCGTTTCTCGGATGGCTGATTTTCCGCAGCTTCATCCTTACTCGACTCTCTTGCAACTGCCTCCTCCCCATCCCCTCCAGTCGCTGCAGATTGATGTGGCTCCACCGAAGATACGCTGGCAAGGCCTGCCGAGAACAGTCTCTCGAGTCACCATCCACAGCAGGGCAGGTTGTCGAGAAGCACCGAGGTTCTTGCGAACACGAGAGAGAATGGTTTCATTCTGAAAAACAACAGAGTGAGTACCCCGTCTCCCCAGCAGGCTCGTCCGACCTCCTTGATCTTCGAGCTGATCGCAGCGATCTCAGCTATCCTCCCTTCTCCGCCCTCTCCTTCTTCAGAGGAGAGCAGAAGCTTCAAGATTTCTTTCAACTTGACCAACCTCTCCTCCGCCTCCTGCCATGGAACTTTCAAACGAGGCCATGGCGCCACGACAGACGCTTTCCTCCTTCACTGTTTGTAGCTCAAGTGTGTCAACTTCTGCGACCCATCCTGGCCCAAACTCATCCTCCAGCTCCAGCCGCTTGATCCTGCGCTCTTGCAGCATTACTGGGTACAATCTACCCGACGCCTCATACCAGTTCTCGTACTCGAGGATCTTTGCGAAGGGAGCTTTCTGCCGAACAAGATCGTTGAGCTCCCTTTGCAGGACTCCTATCTCCGCATGCCGTCTGGGGGGATGAGGTAAGGAGCAGTCAGATGTCGACGGGCTCCGGCCCACCTTAAGCGAGCATCGTGCATTTGCTGAGCCATCTTGTCATTCCTTGCAATCTCTGCATCGTGCTTCCTCCTCCATTCCTGAGCACCTCTCAAACCTCCACCAAGAGCATCCTCCTCCCTCCTCCCTCACTTTCACTTCCTCCGGCGTCAGTCGCTTCTCCGGCAGCTTGTACTTCACCGCATTGATCTTTGCCATCCCTGAGTAGATCCTCTCGCTGATGTTCAAATCTTCCGCTCTTGGCGCCACGTCCCGTCCACTCGGCACTTCTCTTGGCTTGACGAGGATCGGCTTGTGCCGCTCTAAGCATGCAGTGAACACATGCCTGCCATCCCTTACTATCTTCAGCTGCACATGAGAGCCTTCCGGTCCCATCAGCTGCTGCTCCACCTCGCGCTGGTCCATGCATCTCACATCCTTCTTGTCTACAGTCAGCAATTCATCTCCTTCTCTCAACATCCCGCAAGACTCTGCCGCTCCTCCCTTGACGAAGCTGCAACGGATTGATCACAGGCCCTACCAGAATGGAGCACGCGAGGTCATGTCAAACCTGGTCAGGATGAAGCATGAGCTCTTGGAGTCCTGCCTCTGAACCTGTGCTCCAATACCAATATATTCGGCAGTGCTCTCCATATTCGTATTCACCATGCGAACTCAATGCATGGCGCGATCGCTTTCGCAGATCTTACCCCTCGTGTTCCATGCGGTAACAAAGGGAATGCAGTTTTGCTCTCACCTCCCTCCTCGTACCCAGCCTCGTCACTCCCTTGACTTCCTCCTCCCTCCTCCCTCCTCCCTCCTCCCTCCTCCCTCTTCTCTTCTCTTCTTCTCTCTTCTCTTCTCTTCTCTTCTCTTCTCTTCTCTTCTCTCTGTCAGTCTACTCTCTCCATGCCATTGCTTCCCTCCTTTGTCGCCTGCGTTATCGCAATGTCACCATTGCTAGTTGTTATACCCGGTGTCCATTAATCAAGGCGCTGCGGGCCCCGGGCAGACCGGGTGCCGCAGAGACTTGAGAAATCAGAGATCTTTAAAAATGTTTGTAGATTGACTGAAATTATGTCCCGGACACCTGACGTGGTAAAAGATAAAAATACCATTGTAAAATACTGTACCATGTAAAATACATTTTCATCTCAATGGTTTTATTTTGATTGTACTCTGTCGTAGATAAAAACAAATTAAAGGACACAACAATAATTTTACAAATGGACCTTCAAGACAGCCAGAAAAGACAAGGGTAGGGGTAGTCCATGGCATTGGTTCATAGGTAGGGTGTAAATGGACGATTTACCAGAAAAATAGGGGTACTTGAATGAGAAAGAGTGGGTGATGGTATCATATAGTGAGTAGGTGGGGTAGTACAGAGATTTTTGAGGTGGGGTATCTTTTTTTTGTTTATATGGTATTGGTCGGCCCCGATCTCCCGTGCTACCCCTACCCTTCACTTAATGACCCCCACCACGTCTGACGCAACAACCCACCCCCCAACCTCAATCTTCGAAGTTGTACTTCAACAAGAACCGTTCCCTTTCGCTTCTGAACGATCAAAGTACCCGTATCATATAGTATAGATAATATCCCCGAATACAAAGGGTAGGGTATTACGAGTACGGGTTATTTCTCATACCACGGGTAGTATGTGAACTACCCTACCTATCCAAATAAAAACATAACCCCTCATTGTGCTACCCCTACCCTGTGGCCACCTGCGAGGAAGCCGCCATGCAGGGGCAATGTAGCGGGGAGGGGAGGGGAGAAGAGTAGGAGGTTCGAGTTAGCGACTGAACGAGGATCCAAAAGAAGAGCAACAGAGTCTATAGTGACATACTCTCTTACCCTCACCTTGAAGAACGTCTGGCATGTTCCCTCTCTCCTAGGTCGATTGAGCACTTCGGAAGGGACTCATTCTGCGAAAGAGCCATGGAGCTTAGGCCGTGTGAAGCATTCTTGAGTCATTTATCTGTTCGTGTTAGTCTTGTTCTACACTGTTTACCATGCACAACCATCCAACCGTACGCATCTTGAATGCTTCAGATAGATCCTTGCAATGTGGTTTGCCATCGGCCTCCATTTCTAGATTGTAGACCAGCAGGCCACGATCTCAATGGCTCGTTGCAGCTCATCTCTGTTCGATGTACAACAACATAACTTTACTATTCGATCAACATCCCGTTGTTCGTTTTGCTTCTCAGTGTGTCGACATGATTCTCCGACTGATTCTTGTCGCGTTCAGGTCCCGAGCCCAGTGCCGAGCGAGAAACGTCACAAGAGGAGCATAAGGATGCTCAAGGGTCTGCTCGTCGTTGCCTCTGTCTTGGCGTCATGCAGTGCCAGCCATGTCCCCCCTCTTGCGCAGGCGTCGTCCGGGTATCTGAAGCTGAGGAGCAACCTCAGCGGCAAGAACACGAGGATGACCTCGCCGAAGCTTCATCGACTTCCTTCGCTCGAGAAGGACGTGTACACGGCCCAGATCAACGAAGAGGAGCAGCTTGTGTGCATGAGACTTCGAGGCGGCACCGGATGTGCGCTGGAGAACAACCTCTCCATCAACTTCAAGGATTCTGACTCCTTCTCGCCCGCCCGCGGCGCCGTGCACACTAAGTTCATCTGCACCATCGGGCCCATCACGCAGTCTGTGGAAATGATCAGCAAGCTGATCGAGTCAGGAATGAACGTCGCGCGTATGAACTTCTCTCACGGCGATCACGCGTATCACGCGCAGACGATCGCCAACATCAGAGAGTCGCTCAAGAAGAGCAAGAGGATGTGCGCGATCATGCTGGACACCAAGGGCCCTGAGATCAGGACGGGGATGATCAAGGATGGCAAGGAGATCATGCTCGAAATCGGGCAGGAGTTCACCCTCTACAACGATTGGGACAAACCTGGCGACCAGAACGGTGTGGGTCAGAGCTACGCGAACCTGGCAGAATCTGTCGAGATTGGTGGCGTCATCCTCATCGACGACGGTTTGATCGCCCTGACCGTGATGGAGAAGGACGGGGGTAACGTCAAGTGCAAGGTGATGAACAACGGTCTCCTCGGCTCAAAGAAGGGCGTCAACCTTCCCGGCTGCAAGATCACGCTCCCAGCCTTGACTGAGAAGGACAAGGGAGACTTGAAGTTCGGCTGCGAGCAGGGGATCGATTTGTCGCCGCTTCCTTCGTGCGCAAGGCGGAGGATGTCATTTCGATCAGGAACTTCTTGAATGAGAACGGGGGGGAGAGAATCAAGATCATCTCTAAGATTGAGAACCAGGAGGGTCTGCAGAACTTCGACGAGATCCTGGCGGTCACCGACGCCATCATGGTGGCGCGTGGAGACCTTGGAGTCGAAATCCCAGGAGAGAAGGTCGCCCTGGCGCAGAAGATGATGATCTCCAAGTGCAACATTCAGGGGAAGCCGGTCGTCACTGCCACTCAGATGCTTGACAGCATGATCTACAACCCCCGCCCCACCCGCGCTGAGACTTCCGACGTTGCCAACGCCGTGTTTGATGGGACTGACTGTGTGATGCTCTCGGGTGAGACGGTGAGACTGCGAATTGCTGTTCCCTCCTCCCATCATCCTGATGGCTCCTGCAGGCCAAGGGCAAGTATCCTTTGCAGGCGATCGAGATGATGGTCAAGATCTGCAGAGAGGCGGAGAAAGTTGTCGATCACACACAGACCTTTGCTGCTCTGAGACAGTGAGATTTTTCATGCTCCTCCCTTTCTTATCCTCGTCCTCCTTCTTGTCCAAACCTTTGTTCACCGCCAGGTTGACGCGATTGACAGGTATGCCAAGACTCTTGGACCTGATGAGATTAACGAAGCCATCGCTTCCTCTGCCGTTAAGACTGCCTTCGATCTCCGTGCATCTCTTGTGCTGTGCCTCACAGAGACAGGTAACAAACAAGATCAACTCGAAATTCTTTGCCTGACGTTTTCTCAGGTCGAACGGCTCGACTAGTCTGCAAATACAAACCTATGGCGCCAGTTCTCTGCGCAACATCCGACGAGCAGGTCGCCAGACAGTGCCTTGTGCTCCGAGGATGCTACCCAATGGTAGGAATCTCTCTTCACTTGACTTCCTCTTCCCTAGCCTCTTTGCATTTCTTGGTGTACAACTTGGATTTCTCGTTCTCTTCTTCTCAAACACTATCATTTGTTCTCTCACGCTGCTTCAGGTCGTGGGCTCCATGGTTGGATCTGCTTCTCTCATCGCTCGCTGCCTCGCGACCGCCAAAGTGAACGGCCTGTGAGAGAAGCAGGCGGCGCCTGTGCGGAGAAAGGCTGAGTCCTTTTACAGGTGCAAGGTTGGCGACGTTTGCGTTGTCATCAGCGGCATGAAGGAGGGGATCAGTGGAGGAACGAACGTGTTGCGAGTGCTCAAGATCGAGTGAGCTCGTCGACTTTTCCCGTTTTTCCTTCTTGTAGCATTAAACGCATTCAATGTCTGCGGGTCAATTTGCTGTCACAGGCTTTGCAGCCTCGTGACCATCAGTATCATGAACAAAAACGTCAACGTAGCGCTGACGGAAACACGAGAGCCGCCCGAGCAGATATCGTAGAGGCCGTTCTTGTCGGCCGAGATGAACGGGGAACCGTCCTGCTTGACCCCGCAGTACTTGCTGTACCTGACATTGAACCGAATCACCATCCAAGAATCAGAGACAACTGACTGAGCCCAGCAACAGGCTCGAAGGTTTGACCTACCAGGAGCTGTAACATTCCATCCTCCTGATGAAGAGGTCCATCATGCACATGTACTGGCCTCCTGCGTTCTTCCACGTGAGAGCGTTGCTGCCAGGATGTCAACATCAGTCGCAGACGACATTAACTCGGTTGACGTTGGATCACTCACTGGAAGTTGCAGATGGAAACCCAACAGTTGCCGCATCTTTGCACGGCCAGGAAAGACTGTGGGAGGTGAAGGAGGATCAGGTGAAGCATGAGATGTCTTGCAGGCAGATCATCTCGGACCTTGTAGTCACAATCTGTGTTCACTTGGCTTGTACGTAGCTGCGACATAGCGTGCTGGTTATGGCAGAGCGAGAGGAAGGAGAGGCGAGAGAGGGGGCTCACATCGAAGGCCCTTCTCAGCTCGTTTGAGCACAGCGGAAGCGTCTTTGTGGTGTCGTTTTGATTTCCCAACCAAGGAAAGGTGCTATTCTCTTCATGCTCAAGTCAAATAGTTTCGACAACAAAGTTGGTCAGCTTAAATCGGCCTACCTGTCCATGGGTCTGAATAGTAGCAGGCTCCCTGCACAGCCACTTTTCCTGGAAGCTCTGCTCCTGTGTTCGCATCTCTATCCATGCATCCGTTCGGGACCGCATGATCATAGCAAATGGGCTATCATGGCACAAACGTTAGTTGACAGTCGGAAAGATTAACGGCGGTACTGCTCACTTACCCACTGCCCTGACACAAAGATGCCTCCTCCTCCTCCTCCTCCTCCTCCTCCTCCCAGCAGCGTCAAGCAGGTCAGAAGCAGACGGATGCGCATGGTTTCTCCATTTTCGCGCCGGGCGATCAAACTTGAAACCGGTGAAAAAAAAGGTCAACCGTGAATACGGGTAAACTGACGGGTAAAAGTAAAGGTCAGAGGTCTGGTCAGAGGTGGGATGTGGTCTGACGGTATGAGGGTCAGGGCACGTGCCCTCATTCAATGGCATCGGGGAGCGAAAAGAATGGGGGAAGGGAAGGAGGCGGGACGGAGAGAGGGAGGAGAAGGGCAAGAAAGGCTGCAAGGAGACGGGAGGAAGAAGGAGGAGGGACGAGGCAGGTAGACATGTGTAGCTGAATACATCGAAGGGGAAGAACCAAGGGGAGGGGGTTGAGAAGAGGGTGAAAATAAAGAGAGACTTATTTTATGATGACTGGGAGGTTGTGGAATGTGGTTCATTTCTCCTTGAATTGTCTGTTTGTTATTGTTTGCACCCAGTCTAACGCACTTTTCAGAACCATGAAGGAGAAGACACACCTGAAGGCCAACCGGCCGAGGATGCCGGCGTTGGTGAAACGAGAAATGAACAACGAGGAGGGAGAGGACGAGGACACGAGCAGAATGAACTACAAGGGATTTGATAAGGCAAAGTTGCAGTCTTCGAGGAAAGCTGCGAGGAAAGAGAAGAGGATGGCGAAGAAACAGAATAAACAGCAGCACCAGCAAACGCATGCTGCTGAAGTTCAGAAACTCCGCAGACTGAAGGAGGAGAACGAGCGCCTTCGAAAGCAGCTGCTGAATCAGAGTCAAGGAAACAAGCAGCAGCAGCAACAACAACAACAGCAACAACAGCAGAAGCAGAACCAGAACAAGAACAAGAACAAGAACAAGAACAAGAACAAGAACAAGAACAAGTACAAGAAGCGCGATCGAGATACTGGAGATGAACAGGAAAGCGAACAGCCGAGAGCTAAGGCAGCGAAGCTCGACAAGAAGATGCCGCCAGGAGAAGAATCTGCTGACGAGACGGCAGAAGCATCCGATACAAACTCACACGATGAGACGGGAGAACAGACGGCAAGTCGATCAGGGCAGGGGGAGCAGGCGGCACCAGAGGCCGTCTCCAAGTACATCCCCCCACACCTCCGCAAGCAAACCACCGATGAACCTGACGCAAAGCTCAAGTCAGCAGTGAAGAGCTGTCTCAACAAGGTCTCAGAGCTTAACATCTCCTCCATCACAGACGAGATGGAGAGAATCTACAACAGCCACCCACGTGTGAATGTGGATAAACATATGGCCAACATCATTGTGGAGCTCGCCGGGGAAGGGTCAGGCCGCATCATCGGTCAGTTTGCCGCTCTCTATGCGGTCCTGGTAGCTGCACTGCATGCGAGCATAGGATCAAGCGTGGGAGCAAGATTCATCGACAGGATAATCCGAGAGATTGATGCTTGCATCGCGGACAACAACAACCTAGTCGGAACCAACCTCACCCTCCTCTTTGGCCATCTCTACGTCTTCAAGATCATCTCCTGCTCCCTCGTCTACGATCTGGTCAGGGTACTGCTTGCTCGGGTCGAGGAGAACAACCTCGAGCTCCTCCTCAGCCTCTTGCGCGTCACTGGGAGCCACCTCAGGACCGACGACCCCGCGGCGCTGCGTGACATCATTCAGAGCGTTAGGAGCAAGGTCTCCGAGAGCGGAGGAGCGACGAACTTACCTCCCCGCGCGAGGTTCCTCCTCGACTTCATCTACGACCTGCAGAACAACAAGCACAAGAGAGGCTCGGGAGCTGCCGCAGTTGCGGAGGAGGAGGTGGGACGGCTGAAGAAATGGCTCCGAACGTTCACTTCCTCTCGCGCCTCAGGCCTCGGGAACGTACAACAGCTCCGTCCTGCCTGGGAGGACATCGTGAAAGGGAGACTACGAGGCCCCTGGTGGGAGCAGGGCGTGCGCTTAGAGCCGATCCTCATGACGAAACTGTCGTCCTCAACGTCAGGGCAAGGTGGGAAGGCGGAAGGAAAGGAGGAGGAGGCGTTCTCCAAGACCAAGGAGAAGCTGCTGAAGCTCGCGTCCTCACAGCAGATGGGCAGCGACCTGCGCAAGTCGATCTTCATCATCATGATGGAGGCCGAGGACTTCATGGACGCTTGCGAGAAGCTACTCAGGCTGGGGCTGAAGGAGGTGCAGGCGCGAGAGATCGTGAGGGTAGCCTTCCACTGCTGCGGGCAGGAGCAGGGGTGGAATCCTTTCTACGCGCTCCTCCTCTCCCAGCTCTGCAAGATCGACAAGCACCATCAGTTCACCCTCCGCCTCTGCTTCTGGGACGCCTTCAAGGAGATGGATGGATGGATGGAGGACGGGAAGGGGAAGAACAAGATCGGCAACCTGGGCAAGCTGCTAGCACACACTTGGAGCAGCTCAGCGCTCAGGTCTTCCATCAGCTCAGCCTTCCTCTCGTCTCAGTCACACTTGCGATCCTTGGCTGCCCTTTGCCCAGCTCTTTCCCCCTACCCCTCCTCCCTTGTTTCACTCCCTTCTCCTTCTCTTCCCCTCCCCGCTCTTCGATCTCCTTCTTAATCTTGCTGTTTGCAGCCTTTCATTGCTGAAACCCATCGAGATCGAGCGAATGGGGACTGGAGGACATCTCTGCTTGCAGGCATTCTCCCGTTCCTTCACCTCCTCCTCTCCCCTTCCCCTCCACTTCTCACTCCAGTGTCTCTCCCCTCCTCTCCCCTCCTCCTCCCCCCCATGTCGCCTCACAATCTTCTTGCCTTAGGTCGCTTTCAGAGCTCTTCTTGCCGAGAGCAGCCCGAAGACCCTCAAGGGGCTAGTCGAGAAGATAGCAAGTGACGACAAGGTCTTGACCTCGGCTCTGCCGCCCGCCATGTCACACCTGTGGGCAGGAGATGAAGGAGCTGCGTGCAGGCATCCTCTGGTTCTTCTTCCAGGTGACGGCCGGGCCCTTGTGACTCGCTGCTGACGCTACGGAAGTTCATGGGGGCGAAACGAGAGGACAAGGCTCGCGGCTTCGCTGCGTCCAAGGACCTTCCTGATGAGCTGCTCGTAACCAAGGAGGTGGACAAGAAGTCTGTCTTGCGGGTACGTTGCCCCTCCTCCTCTGACCTGCCCTTGACCAAACTCCTCAGGCCCGTGTGCAAGATATGGTCGGTTTGCTGCAGCGATCGGGGGCTCGTTAGCATGTACAAGTTAATGTTTCATATTCTCAGCTGATGTACAGTGATCTCTAAGTGGCTCAGTAGCGAAAGCTCTTCCTCCACTCCTGCTTGTACAAGATCTCTCCTTCCGTCAGATCGTAGAATGCCTCCTGCTCGCACTCAACATCACAAGATGGCAGCAGTGTGCTGGACCAACCTGTGTCAGACTTTTCCCGTGAACAAGACGGAAAGTCAGATGTCTCTGCTGATTGTCAGATGCCGCTGCTTCTCTTGGCTTGCTTCCATCCTAGACCGAGAGATGTCAGGTCGTCAGGGTATCTTGATCTTCATCTCTGACCCTGTCTTCTCCTTCGCTCGCGCCATTCGCACCCGCGGCGGCCTCCACTCCGCCCTCGTCAGGATTGTCTGCAAAGGAGGACAGGACTGACTTTCAACAAGAATTGCTCACAGTGAGAGATTCTACCTTCATTCATCGCTGATGCGTTGTCGTCGTCATCATTTGACTGTGTCAAACGTCAAATTCCTGCGGGTCCACGGAATAAACATCACCATGTCGTCTAGATTGACGTGAGGCCCGCGCAACGCAGCACCTTCACCTGCATGAAAAGCTCACATGACTCTCTGGGGATACAAGGGATCAGAGTTGCCTTGCTCGATCCCCAGCCTCCTTGAGACTTGCTTCTTTGCCTCCCATTCCTCTTCAATCTCTTCCAAACTGAGAGAGTCCGGGAAGCTCAACCGTCGAACTCTCTTTGGATGAATTTCTTCCGGTAGCAGGACGGCCTGAGTCGCTGCTTTCTTCAAGATCCCGTGCTTTGCTGCGTCGTGTCCAGCGCTGAATTCGACCGACTGAACGCTCTCGGTCTAGAGAGACACGTCGGCAACTTTCTCCATCAAGAGAATATCTCACCTTCATTTTCGCATGGAGAGCAGAAGCAAGGTACTGCTCGAAGTTGATGGAGGCGCTACTGCGAGGAGCGTCTGCGTCCTCGTTCCACAGTCCCGAGGACTTGAAAACTACAGGAACATCGGTTCGAGCATCAGATCATTCATGTTTCACCTTGAACGGCTGTCAGCTTCGCCATCTCTCTAATCTCCTTCTCCGTGTGCTTTCCCTTGGAGAACAAGTTCTTCTGGCTGAGAGGCAGTTTCTCTCCTTGTCTTCGTATCAGTCGGGCTTGAAACTTTTGCAGCTAATTCCATCAGATCAGAACTCAACAGGGCACGACCTTCTTGAGACAAACAACCTACCTGAAGAAAATCGAGAGATGCGAGCGGTGCTGAAACAGCTTCAAACTGTGCTCTCAAGTACTTTGCCTGCGGAGATCGCTCAAGACCGGACACTTCACTTTAAGATGAAGTTCCTGCTCTTCAGGAAGCACCCGTAGTTCTCCCGAGGGCATCTGGCCCTTGTCTTCTACCTCATTCAGACCTGCTTCTGAGCGCCACTCTGCAGGGGATCCGTCGCATTGCGACCTGCCAGAAGCAACTTGAGGAGGTTGGTAACAAAGAGTGCGGGCCATCTCACGCTTGCTGCTCAAGATCTCTATGTTGTCCTGCACTGCCCGAGCCTCCCTGTCCGTTTGCTTCGTGTGGTTGAACTTGAATCGAGCTGTTTTTGATCCCTAGCACATCAGGAGCCCCATCGACGTCAGACTTGAGATTGTTTTGCGAGCTCGCGTTGGATTTCACTGACTGTTTTGATGAGCTCCGGAAGAGGGAATGCTTCCCTATCACCCCGCCCATGGTTTGCCGCCAGGATGCTCGGGATCGAGGATAATGAACTAAGTGTCTAATCTACAACGCTGAATGATCGAGATGTTGGACTACACTGAGCACGTCTCCGAACTAGCAGGTCTTGGTGGGGTAGACTCGAATCGTCCTAAGTTATCCGCAAGGCACCGTCATATCAAATGCGGCTGTTACACCTCTCGCCCATCAAAGCGACACCTGTCAGTGCAGTAACCAAGATCTCCTGTCCTCGCACTCGATTGGCCGGATGATCACTATCCTCTCGCCCCGCCTCTTCCTCCCCTAGCAGCTTTGCGCTCCATTAAAACCATTCTTCTCCATCGATAGTAACCGTCTGAACCCGCCTCATGAGATTTTTCTCTCCCAAATCAAACTTGCCTCTTGATTTTTCAGAATTGTTTATTATTATTTGAACATTTGGAGGGAGCTGTTATGCCCCTTTTGAAATTTAGTAGGGCCTCTACTTTACTCGCTGTCACTCTGGTCTATTGCTGACACCCCACCCTACATTTCACCGGCAATCTGAGGGTCTTGATAAGATAGGGGCGCTATAATAGAGGGCCAGGGTCGGGATTACAGTGGGGAACAGTAGGGGGTAGGGGTAGTGAAATCAGTTTTCCAATCGGCCTTGTGGGGAGTTGAGTAAAATATTTTATCAAGGTTGGGCCGGAACTTCCGCTGCATTGACTGGCAGTTACAACCGTTTCAAGGGAGTGAACCGTTACGCTTCAGGTCGCCTGTTACACACTTCGGCCTTGTATGCAGTAACCTCACCACACTGATGGCCACTCTGCACGCGAAGGGACATTGCAGTACCTCAGCACCCCCTTCTTCTACTGTCTTTAGACCCCACCCCTGGTTCACCCACCCCGGAATGACCCCACTGCATCGGACACTCATGTAGACCGCATGTCCTGCGGCACATTTATGTTCACTTCCACTACCCCGACTACCCCCTCTGGCCACGGCACCCGACTCGGCGACTCGGTGACCCACGGCGGGGATCGGACCAAGGGAGGACAGTGAAGCCTATGAATTTCCTTGACAGCCATTAGACTCAAATGCAGCAGCCGCATGCTACGGGCTGCTCCCAATCAAGTTCACCGTAATAATCGACTACCCCACCCCATCAATATTAATTATGGCCCACCCCACCCCCTCTCTTACCACACATTATGACATGTGGGGATTACGTGACCCCTCTAATCACACCCCTGCTCCCAGCTACTACCCCACCCCACTGAACTACGTCCGTTGCTACTACCCCTGTCAATTTATTATTTTTCCTGTTGATGTGAGGGTACTGCTGCTGGACATCCCCCGTCATTTCAGCTTTTCAATCTCTT